ATCTTGTATCTATCTTGTCAGTTCCACCCAATTAGAATTTTCGCAAAAGATTCGTTCAGACATTGTTTAGTGAATTCGATTCTGTAACGTCTAAAAGATAATTCAATTCGTTTGGTTTTATTTTGAAAAGGTTACTTGTTTCAAAAGGTGTCTGAATATTTCAACGATTGACTGGAGACCTGCGGCATCAAACAAGATGAGATTCCATTAGGAAAAATAGATAACGAAGACGAGGGAAGCGGCGTGAACTTTACGGACGACCTAATACGAGATATTCGTGACGTTGCTATCTATTGTGGGAGGTCATAAATAACTTCCGTTTCCCTCCTCCAAATTTATGACGGCTCATGAAGCTTTCCAGTGTGATCATCAATCTGTGATATAATCGAAATTATTATCAAACCTGTTAATCCTTGTACGATCTTAATCGCTTTAATGCAGATAATTGTTATTTAATTATTATCCAGCATGTTTTCGATGGCAGAGATATTATTTACGACTCATCCAGATATAAGCCTGCTGGATTCTGAATTTGCTTGGTGAGAATGTCTGGTGGAAAATAAACTGAACTGGCGTATAAGAACGTGAATGTTTAATGTTAAACAAATTATTTATTAAAACGCATTTGCAACACTGAAGTTTTGGTCTCTTTTCGATAGTGAAGATTTGAATCATTTCTTTTACTAATGCGAATGCTGTCGGATATTAACTGTAGATTATTCGAGTAATTCTTAAGCTTCTAAAAAATAATCATTTTAATCGTTTTAAAAAAGTAACGTAAATAGCCATATTATAGCTGCCTTGCATGTATGTAGAAGGTATGAAGTATTTATTGCATCGACTACACAGTGTCAAAGGAAATTGGGAACTCTGCAGGCACTGAAATGCCTATCATGCCGTTCATAGTAGCATGTAAACATTTTGAACGTCCGACCGACAATTTTGTAATTGCCTGACGTTATAACCCATAAACCAATCAACCGATTTATTTAAAGCGTTACAAATATATTTAGTAGATGTTCTTCCATCGTGCGAAGGCATTTGCAAAAATCAGCGTTTATAATTTTAAGAGCAAATATTGTTTTTACTCGAGTATATTACTATATTATATTATATTATATACTATAGTTATATATAGTAATACTTACATATATATATATAAGTATTACTATATATAACTATAGTATATAATATAATATAATATAGTAATATACTCGAGTATAAAAGCAATATATATATTATAGTTCTATATAGTATACTATATTATATATAGTATATAAAACTTACTATATTATATTGTTTTTACTTATTCTTTATACAATTTATATTGTTTCCTACATGTAATGCGAGCAATTTACGACAATGTACTTTATTATTGTTTATAAGCTTTAAGACGATGGAAAGGATCAGCGCCTTATATGGTAGATACAGATATAAAATGTCATCAAAACGTTATCCAATACAATTGAATCAACTTTATTTTCTTCATTATTGTGCTCAACCATCTGCTGGAACTTCATAACTGAAAGACATCCCTCTATCTTCCAATTATCAGTGTATAGTGGAGGTTTCTATTTTTGAATATTTATTTTTACGATATTCTGGTACCGAAACGTTCCGTTATCTAATCATTATATCGTTTAGACACATTATCGCCTAGTAGAGAACTGAAATGAAATTAATAGATAATAGAACGTTTTGATATCAGGAGATATTACATAAATAAACTTTCAGAGAAGAGAGCCTCTGCCCTGTTCGAATATCGTAAGTAAGCGCATCGTTTAAATCACTCTCGGATAAAGAATCATCTCAACCATATTTCATATTTTCTTGGTAAACCATTTACAATTTATATATACGATTCTATTTTGAGGAGTACAATCTAAAGACGTCCACCATTTTGGTGGCATTTCCAATAATCTCACGAGAAGATGTTTCAAATAAAAATTAATCAACCTTGATTTTACTAGAAAATGAAATAAAAGAATCGTACGAACATTGCGCCACGTATTTTTCAATCGATAATATCGTAGACGCAACAAAGGCGAATTTAATGATCTACTACACGATGACCTTCGTATGGCCATGAATTCGGAAACATCGGAGAAACGTTAACATGGAAAATTATTTGATTTCCTTAGAATTGAACATCCGAACCAACACTACACCTGTTAATATAATAAATCTATGAAACAGTCGGAAATAATAAACAAAATCAACTACCTCGCCGCGCGTTATAACGAACAATTCGTATAATACTATTAAAAGATCAATTTTTACCATGCCAATTAATTATCCGAAGCCAATTAACATTTCATCGGAACGTTCCATCGCGGATTATTTGGGATGCACGAGAAACGGTGGACATTCTTAGAAGCTACACCGCGTACACGATCCGCAAACAAACCTCGTTCGTTCTGCATTTCAAAGCAGCAATCCATTAATTAGTCTTTCGCGTTGTACCGAGCAGCGCCGTATGCTTTGTAGCGCCGGATGCAAATGTAATAAATTGAAATAATTGAAATGAAAATACGGAGGGAAGGCGGACGAACGGGGGAAGCGCGGTGGAAGCAAATGAATAGACGGAAGCTGCGTTAAAGGGGATCAAACGCGGGGAAAAAGGAAAAGGGAGAGGGACAAAGGTTCCCGGGAAAAGATTACAGAGGCAAGGAGGGAATTAAGGAGCTGGATGGAGGGACGCGAGGGTCAAGGAAAGATTACGGAAGAGTACGAGGGGAATAGAAAGACCTCGCGCGGGAAAATGAAGCTAGGGACGAAGAAGAGATCGGAGAGATTCGAAGAGAAAATAAGGCGGATCAATTGCGGAGAAGAAAGTATGGAAGAGAGCGAGAACGAAGAGAGGAAAACGAAAGTCAATTCCCAAAAGCACAGCCAGTGAGAAATGGGATGAGCGGGTCTCTTCGAGGTCGAAAGGAAAAAAAAGTAAGACAAGCGTGGTGGACGGAAGAGAAGCTGATGGTTTTAGAAAGTTAAAGAGAATGCCGGTAAAGAATCCAATTGAAACTTCGAGAAGAGTCGATCGGTTCTTTAAAATAGCGGTACGGATCGTTTAGTATTTAAGACCCCCAGCTTTTTAAACATGCGAGAACAGTTACGACAAATTTCTACGTAGGTAAGTCTTTTTGTAGTAAAAGCGCAACAAATTCTGGATAACAACGACGATCCATCGACGATAGTTGCGAACAATGTGGAGGAAGAACTAAAGTTCAGATTCGGAATTGGTAATTTTCCCAGTCGCTGATTGCAATGTGTACGATCGAGTATTGTCACGAATCAATGGAGAACCTTGCTGATTGACCAGCGTGGGCCGTTTTTGGCACATAGCTTTGATTTCAGAACAATAGCAATTCAATCACCGTATTATTGTGGAGTTCGGGCAGTTACGGCACTTGTGTGGCCGCGTTTTCATTCATACGCGGAAAGTACATAAATCTGTGCTCAAAGCCAGTGCATGACGCTCAAACGTACAAGTATTTCCTGATAAAAATGCATTATATGATTGGCGTATGGTCGAACATTTCACGTACAAGGATATGGCGTGAGACGAAATGTTTTTTTTACATTAGATTATGTTATTACATCAATATTAGTAATCAGAGATTTGGGGCATTCTAGGACAACTCTGCGGGGAGGCAATTCTAGAGAAAGTTAATTCTTTCTTCAAATCTCGAAAAAACGAGCAACAACGTCTTAACATCTTAACGTTGTTGAAGCCGTGCCATAACCAGAATATTGTGCCCGCTTCCTGGAAATCAAACATACTATCTCGATAACAAAATTCGGAAGTATTCTGCAACATCGAAGCTTTGTTTTACTGCGCGAAAGAATCGTCTATACAAAAAAAAAATAGCCCGCATATTTAACAAACTTCTACAGAAGCCATTCAACTTTGTCTTGAAATGTTCTTCCACACAGTCAATAATTTTCAAGTGATTTAATCTCGTCAAGTTAGAAGGCACTGAATTAATATAAAAAGATGGACGCGCAAGAGTTCGAATGTCTAATGAACTAGAGGATAATTCCAAGAATTGGCTACTTTTCAAATATCAAAGCTGTCTTCTTTATTGTAAGTTGATAAAAAAGATCCAAGCGAGGTATCGAGGAAAAGCAAGGTGTGTACACGGATGTGTGTGTATTGGAAAACGAAGTGGTGCGTGAAAGTGGTCAATAAGAAGGGCGAGAGTTTCCGAACGGAAGGAGGAAAAAGCCTGGCGTGACCGTTCGGCTCGATAGTCTTTAATTACTCTATTGCGGCTTTCCGAGTTCGAAAGGAGTACGTTTAAAGTACGGCAAAAGTATCCCACCAATTACGTGATAGCAAGCAGCAGGGGAAGTAATAGACGACCAGAAGCACTAGTAGTAGCAGTAGTAGTATTAATAGTAGTAGTAACAGTGATGGTGGCAGTGGTAATGGTAATTATTGGTATTGGTAGTGATATTGATAGTGATAATTGTACTGGAACGAACGATTCGAAGATTTGAAGACGATTTGAAGATTCAGAATTGGGAAAAGACGGAAAGTCGTGAAGAGAATGAAAGGACAATCTGTTAATTGGATGGTTGCAGAAGTAAATTCCGGAGTACATGATAAAGACGAAAAGACGGATATTAAGGGTGAATACAAGAACAGAGGACGAAAAGACGGAAGAAAAAGTTACACGAGCAAAGAGGATTTGTACCGGAGGAATAGAGACGGGATAAAAAAAGGGTCAAGGCTAAGTGAAATCAGAGAGGAATAATTGAATAAAAGAGAGAAAATGTGATACAATATTCAGGAAAATGACCCGATTAGGGAATGTGAAGCGAAGGTATTCATAGACAATGTCGGAAGAAGCACTGACGAGCGGAAAAAGGGGGGATGAATAATTTGGATACGATAGAGAGGAGAATAAGTGAGAAATAGGGGTAAGTCAGGCAAGCTAAAAATTGTTGAAATGGGTAACGGGAAATGAAATATTTTATCACATTTTGTACGAGTATCGTGTATCTGCAGCAACCTCGACCTAAAATTTTACGCATTGGAAGACAAAATGGTATTGCATACATAATATATTCAACAAATCAACGTCTCTTTTGTTTTACTATGGCTTTAATTATGTAAAGAGCATATTTAACACTGACAGAAAATGTACGATCGTGTTAGTGAACATTATCATTGGTAGAACGATGGAAAATGAGTGTATGTTAAAAATGAAAAATGTTGAAAAGCATTTGATGGTGAGTGTTATGTGTTAAGTTAGAAATAAGATTTACAATTAAGTAGTAAATAAGAAATACGATAAAAAAAGGGAGATGTAAAGAGAGTTAACTACAATGGGTACCGGCGATTACGAGAGGTGGAAATTACAGGCTTGGATTATGTAAACGTGCTCGTGAAAACGATGCAAATAAGTTAGCAGCCTTCATAATGCGATAAATGTACAAAATCAGTGTACATATACATTACGCATTTTTTCGTTATTTTCGAATAATAACCTTACAAAATGTGAATTTAAAATCAATGTAAAATTAAATTCACACTTTCACAGATCACATCTACCTTTCGCCAAATCAAATTCAATATTGTATTCCGTAAACCTAGTGTTAATCGATGTATTTTATTGGATCGTGTCCGAAGGAATTGCGAACCATCGCTTCTCGGAACAGCACAGATATATCATTTTTTCAGATATTGCAATATCTTGTTTTTCTATTTCGCGGTGTTGTTTTCGTGTAATATCCATTTCTCGTCGATGGTCACGGAGCGCTATCTAAAAATATTTCGGCTTGTGTTATAAGTAAACAAATATACGCGAACGGGGAGTCTATTGATTAAGTTATTTTCATGTGTAGTATGCCGTTGTAAATATATCGTTTCGTAAAATCTGTCGAGGTTAACGCGTGTTATTCGAATGTTTTAGCTTCATACTTCGTTTACCTTGAAGACGGTGTCATGTTTCCAGTCACTCGCGCACAACGACGTATCGCAATCGCTGAAAAATGTGTATCGTTACATGAAAAACCTGCTCGGAATACATACATCGTATCCTCGATGCTATTTACATATACTTCGATACGGTAATACGTACATTGAAATTGAATACAACTGATCCAGATTTTTCCATAAAACGGAATTCACATTTTTCCCCATTTTCAAATTCACCATTTTATAGATCAAATGCACGGTTTTGCAAATAATGTTCCTTTAAAAATTTGTCCTTTTTGCTCATCTTACTTAAAGTTCCGTTAACATTGTGCTTATTAACAGCTATATTTTTACATGCAAAAGTGTACAAAAATTTATAGAAGTCTTAATTACTGCAACGTGATAACTAGACTGCGGATTTTATGCATTCATTAAAATTGTATTATTATTAAAATTCAAAAGAGCGAAGACATTTAAATATTCTATCATTTTATTGCACTATATTTCGATAAAAATTCTTTCTTTTTCAAATAAAATTGTTCAGACTGGCGGAATTTAATATCACTTCATTTGCGTATGTATATAGCAGTCTTTTGTAAAAAAAAAACAAAATCTTGGTTGTAATGGTAAATAAACAAAAATTACGTGAATTTTAAAGTGTATTATTCCTTTGTCCGACACTGTACGATTGCATCGTTATTAAATTGTTAAAAGAAAATACACGTGTAAATCGCGGTCTTTGAATGAATTGAAGTGGTTGCAACGTGTAACGAAGTAATTGGGTAACGATATTATTTGTTTGGAAATTGTATTAATTCCGTTTAAATGAAAATTTTAAATGTCTTGCTGCACGGTCGTGCGAGTTATGATGCGCGCTTTTGCTTCGCATCGGCATTGCTACGGTTTTGTTGGCTAATTTATTCTGCAGTGTCGATATGGTGATTTTTAAAGCTGGCGGGACGAGAAGGATTACGTTTTGTTTCCGATTCGTAAATACACTCCCAGAATTTCTGGAAATTCACCTCTTGATCACGGTTCAAACATACCAACTATGACCTTTGCATTTTCGTCAGCATACGTTTTAATTAGTCTGCTGAATAACCCTGACATAACCTCTGTGTGCTATGCATATATGTATATCGTACAGCAATGAATGCATATTAAAAACGTGAGAAAAGGAAATCAGTCGAATAAAAATTCTATTCTAAAAAAAAATAGAATTCTTTTTATCTTGAAAATCGATGAAATAAATTCGTAGAAATTATACTCCCTTTTTAACGAAATACCAGCAATTATGCTTTGGATATTGATAAGAAATTCGTGAGTATTTTTTAGTACAACTTTAAGGTTTAATATTTCGCTATACTTTGTTTCTTACCCTCGACTTTAATTTGCAAGCAATATTTCATCAATATCCTCAATAGGAAGAAGAAGTAATTCTAAATAAAAATTCTGAGATATATTTGTAAATTTTGAGATGTTTCGAATGTTTGAAAGCAAAGATGGTATAAAACGATTAATTTGATATTCTTTTGTTATTTGTTGATTTCATTGATTTTTCCGTGATTTCACGCGCATTAGGATTGTACTCACTTGCAATATAAAATCCACGAAAAAACGACATTTTTTAGCTATGAAATAATGTAATCTGAGTGGTATGATTGTTTTTAACAGAGCTGTTTTAAAAATGCATACTAATACAAGAGCCGGTTCAACATGGTCTGCAATTATTATCTACCTATTATAAAATAAGTTTCGTATAAGAATCTTAGAGTTTACTCAGGAATACTAAAACTAAACAGTAGAACTGCTATCGTCAGAGAACGCAGAGACTTCCAAGCGAACTTAATAAGTTGGCCGGAAAGTTTTGTCATTATTCACCGTTATAAGTTTTCACGTCATTAAAAATTGTATAAAGATTTTGTTTGTGGTGGTCATCGGGAAAATTAAAATTAAGTAATGAGTATATCAATTTTCGAATAGCAGATACCTGTGCGTAGCTTATTCATCGCTTTTCCAAGATACACGACCCTTTCGATCGAACACTATATAAATAATGCCACGATCTAAACACTATACAGTATTTTATAAACTTCCATATTGTACTGATTTCTCATTCCAATTAACACTTCAAAGCTGTGTACCACTCGCTACAATCGATAGTCTTTACGGTTCAGGAAACCTCTAATGCTGTACACGTTGTCACATAAAGACCTGCTGCCTATGAGTAAACAGAAGCAGCATGGAAGGATCCTACTAAAGGATCTTAATCAAAGGAAGCCCATTAATTCTAGTACCATTATTGTCGAACTTGAGACATTGATTATAGAGTATAATCCATGCTAAGTAGAGGAAATCAGAGTTCGGGCGACCTTCGATGCTAGTTTGAATTTCTTGGAACTGTTACACGTGGGATCTCTTTGAGAGTCGATGTAAATTTCCAAGGAGATTAGGAATTTTATACACCATCTTGAATAGTTGTATTTGCAAAGGAAAAAGTTGTTCAAAGCTATACAACATATTCAAAGTTGGCATACTTACAAAATAGAAATTAACAATTTAATAATTACAATAATTACTATTGTCAGTATCATCGCAAACGTTCGTCGCTAGTCGGATTAATTCAGAAATAACAGAAATAACTTCGGGGATTGAATTATCGGATACGAAAACAATGAGAACAGAGCCAATTCGTTTGCACGATGTAAAATAAATCAGCGCACGTACTCCCGGCAATTAAAATTACGTCCGTTGATATTTCTTTCGAAAGTTTCACATACTCTTTGCATAGTTGAAAATTTGAAATAATAAAATGTTAACATGGAGGGAACTAAAATCGAAAAAAATTGTGAAATAATGTAGCGAAGCATGTAAGAAGAGAATTATAGAACGCAGATAACTTTTATCTTTACACGAAAATTCGCAGTTTATTAATGAAAATGGCGATTAGCATAAAGATCCGCAGTTTGAATATTACGGTTTGCACACGCAAATGCAAAGAACGTGAATAAGGATAAGAATTTCGAATTCTTTGAATCGATATGTTGTCGAATACGTTCGCTGATGCTTTCACGCGTCGCAATCGCAAGCATGTTATGCATTTTCAGAGGCCGAGATTGCAAAAGTTGGTGTGTCTAGAGATACTCCCAATTCCAGCCTGGGGCAGAACTTCGTTCCATGGCAGCCGGGACCAACGTGTTCGAGATTCCTGCATCGGATCTATCGAAGGATCTTTGGTAAACCTCCTGACGTAATCATTCGACGCGGTCATTGTTGGCATCACTACAAGAAGATCATTACTAGACTGCGGATCTTTATGCAAAATAAAAATTATCTTCGTCAATTGCAACGAACATCGGCCAAATGGGAGTTTATTTCTTCTTTAAATAATTTCAGTGTGTTTAAAGTAATACATAGATGTCCTTAAATTCTTTTAATATTCTCATTGCGTCAAATTTCACTTATCCATTTTTTTTTGTTTTATAAATGCATAAAATCCGCAGTCTAAACATTATGCTACGGAATTCGAAAACACAGATAAGAAATAAACCTCTATTTTAATTGAATTCTGTCGCAATTTTTGTATTGCTTAAAGATTCGCAGTTTATTCAGCAAAAATACGAACAGTTTTATTCGCGTGAAAATTGTTTTGCATTATAATATTGAAACCTTCAGTGACATCGTAGAGACTTCACTTCGATGTAAAAGGTTAATAGGTACATAGGTGAAGGTAAAGGTTAATAGGCGAATGAAGCGTTCATATTGTACCCGCATGCCTCGTAATTGTAACAGCCAGAGTAAGTACAACATGAATCAGTAAAAAGAATAGCAGCTGTGCCACGCGACGTGCACTAGGAACGTTCAAATCTTTACACACTTGATAGTTTCACACATTCGGATCAATTTTTATGATCAAGTTAAATGTTAAAAATTACGTGAAAATTGCATTTGAAATAAATATAGTTTTATTGCTCCAATGAATTCAAGAAATTCCATTGGATTTTCTGGACTGCTTATCAAGAGTTCAAAGTTCGATTAAAAGTTATGTGCTGCTTTGGGCAGATCAAATTTTGCAACAACATTTTCATTAATGTAATTATGTTCTCTTTGTCGCATAAAACTACTACGAAGTTTATGAACAGTTTATAAGAAGATAGATTTCATTTCAAAGCAAGCTGGACGATGCAATAAAAAAATATGCACTTATATGCAAATTAACTTTTGGTGCCAGTCAAATTTCATATAAGACATTTTTTGTAACATCGCTATTGGATGACATATTTGGGTGCACCATCCTGCATAGTTGTATTTAAATTTAAGATGCAACTGGTAGAAGCATCAGAAACATTAATGCAAAAATATGAATAGAAATAAAGTTATTATCATAAATTTGTTATTATAGAGTTTATAGAAAGTTGACGATTGAACACATAAGAACGACAACTACCCTTACAGACCCCATGGAACAACCGGAGTTCTATAGTGCGAATGTAATGCCTAGCCTCTGGCACCATTACTTCCGCGTCAGTTAACCAATATTAATGTGATAAGCGAAATCGGACGCGTGCCAGAACAGTCGAAGCAGAGATCTACAATCCCATGAGCATAAGGAAGGCAATCTGCAACTTCACTCGACGAAATGCAGGCAGTATACTAGATTTTATTACAATAAAACAAATATAGTTGCATTACTAGATATAAAATTCAACATAAAATAGAATCGTTGCATTTTACCAGTAAAAATAAGGGAAAATATTTCATGTGGACGTACTTATAGTCGTAAATATTTTACTATGAGAAGATTAACAATAAATTGACGATATTTACTTTCTCTTGATTTCCTTTCATTTTATTAACGTTTAATTTCCGATGAACTTTGTTCTATTCATTTCCATCTTCTGTAAGCTTTTACTTTAATGTATGTAGATCAACTATTCATTACGTTTTGCAGTGACAATCTGTAAAATATTCTATAGATTTTCTGTTTTCTATGAATTATTTATCGTCACATACAAATTTGGGTCATTAACAACACTCGTTACTGCATTTGTGCATTCTCGATGTATCCAACCTGTTCAACATTCCTGCGTATTGAATCGCATCCGCATCAGCTTACACGAATCATTATTTTAACTTGTTTTCGACAGCTCCGTGTAACATACGTATAATTGATCTGAGTCCGAGGGCTCTTCACAGGCTCTGATATTTTTGATCGAAATATATCCTATAACATTGTTTTCAGTTATTTCTACAGCGATGCTGTTTCGTGAAAATTTTCATTAACAATGCCAATTTGTTCGTCGACGCACATTATTTTCACTTATTTCCACAAAATAAGTGAGAAATATTATTGTACATAATATAAAGCATCATTAACGAAAACAATGAAAAAATGATGTTCTTTTCGATTGGAACAACTTATTCGAAATCGAAGAGTTTTTCTAGGTAATCTTGAGTTTGTTGATTACTCTACTTAATTATTCGTTTCTCCGATTATCCGCGTTTTCGTCCACACGCCCGAATAAACACACGTGAATACTGAGCAATGACTATATCGAGTTCAGGTATGTACTCTAACAGTGAATATGAAAATTTTATACCTGACCTAATTTTATCGGCGTCGCTGAATACGAAAGTCCGAAAAAGGAACTGCCACAGTTAACGCGCTGAAAAAGCAAGTTGACCTTTAAGGAACCTTGAAATGACAACGATAAAAATATCTTGTTCCTCCCAACAAATTCTATAATTATTCACAGCTTATACATACATTTCTTTCCACACTTTTTTTATAGTAAACTGCAAATGTTTATGCGATTCTCAGTTTACTTCGAAATAATTTCGCATAAGCAGATTTTAATATAATCAATGCAGTGTATGATAAATTTAAAAAATTACATTGACACGTTCATTTTATTATACTTAGCATATGCAAACGTGTTATAAATACATTAAAATACAGTTATTCGATGTTTCATTTCTGTTGCAAATGGATGATTTTCACAACACAACTCTCTATATGTAGTTAAAGTTATCTTTATTAAACACTTTTTGGACAAGTTAAAAGCGTTTGAATAATTACAGTTATTTTCGTTCACAACAGCAAAAAAAAAGAGGACAAAAACGAGTTTACTGGGGCAGCAGGTTTTTTAGCTTTCATAAAAACAAGAATACAACGCGAACGGAAATGGATGCGTTTGTCACGTGTGCAGAGAGTATCGTAAACGCGCGAGTGCGTGGGAAGTGGTTTACGAAATTTTGTTTTCTTTTTATGATACCATTTGTAAATTATTATTGCTTCATACGTTTAATACATTCATTTTGTACAGGCTGAATATCTACAGTAATTAATATTCAGACACGTTATCTAATTAATAAACTAAAACTACTAATTTCTCAAGAAAACTGAAGTCGTCCGATTGAATTTGAAAAGAGTTACTTTTTAAACTTATTTTTTAACTTACTGTTACCATATCAACAAACATCTGAATATTAATCAGGGTCACCGTGTATAAAAATTCTGAAATTATGCGAAAAATGCGAGTATACAGGGTGTTTTTTTTCATTTTTTTTTTATTCATCCACGATGAATCAAAAATGAGGAAAAACTGGTCGAAAGAATGAGCCGAAAGTCTGAAATAAAATTTGTTTCTAGAAAGCTTCGCTTTTGCAAGAAATACAAGCTTAAAATTTTGTGAGGTAAGTATGCTATAAAGTCGGTAACAGCTAACGATATTTGTTCATAACAGACCATTTCTACTTTGTGAATATATGGAAGCACGCGTGCTCTACGAATATTAAAACACACCATTCGCGAAGTGAAACTTCACGTGAAAAAATGTTATAATAATCTTTTAACTAACTTTTCTATGTAGAACCATCCCCCTCATGCTTTTATCACGAACACCAGGTTACTCGGTATAATTGAATCAATTTTGCCTTCGTTAAAAGGAAAATGCATTTCATTTTTGTATGAAAATTCCATCAAAGTATTTTTTTAAACAACGAATTCACTTAATACGTTTTGATACATGGGAAAATAAATACGCTTAAGAAATCTGAATTTTTACACTTCCGAAATTGTCGTTCCTTCGTAGGATACGTTGAATAAAATTGTCGGTAACGAGTGCGCAAAAGTATCATTTTAATTAGTATTTACCGCAAGTAAAACTCTGTATGAAAATTTATACGTCGTTTGACTGGGCAATTGTATCTTTTTAAAGGAATTTTTTATTTTTTGTAACCATAGCTCGCAATCGAAAATCTAAAAGAATTTTCTTAGATGCGATTTGTAATTCAAAATTTGCCACATTTCTTTCAAAATTTTAAGTAGCCACCGAAAGGGGTAAATGAGCCGAAAAGCTCGCGATCTAATTTATCCTGTAACTACCCTCCCGGGCAAGGTACATGTTTGACATTTTGCACAAAGGGATTTTTCTTGGCCACCTATCGAACGATGTAATATACGTTGAAAAACTGCTAATTTGACTATCTTATCCGGCTAGGCCTTTTCAATTGACATTCTATAAATAGAAGGCAGCACGTAACATCGAATATCAATACTGGAACGTTGCTACAGCTTCGAACGAATGACGTTACTATTTATGCAGAATCTCTTAATACCATTGGTCGTTTAATATTAATTTATTAAGTTTTCCAGCAACTAATGGCACATTAATAGCTAGAGTTAAGTATCAGTTACAGTTAAGTTAGTCGCTTAATATTTGAACATTGTTCCAATAAACTATGTGAAATGTGAAAACAAAAGTTTGAGTCACGAACAACGCATCGTAACAGCACAGAAAGAAGAGAGAGAGAGAGAGAGAGAGAGAGAGAGAGAGAGAGAATTGTTACAAAATGCGTATTCAAATGGGAGAGTCTGTTGCTGTTGGTTTTTCGAAAACTAGACTGCTTTGATCGATGTAACAACGTGACATCCATCCGTGTTGATATAGTCGCTGTCAATGAGTCGATCCTTTGAAAGAAGAAACGCAGTGAAACTAAGTGGTTTCACGCTGACCATTTTGAAGCGATTCTTTCCATTTCACTTTCGTCTGTAATTCTTCATGTTTTCCATACGATCGCACAAATGCGAAAACACGAAAACAATTAAAAATAAATGAAACATTAAAAATGCGCCACAATTAACAAAACGAAGGAGAAGCGGTGTAATAAAAAAGAAGAGCATAAGTATCGCGTGACGGAAAAGCGATAGCGAAACCTCTACATGTGTTACGCTCAGCGAAATTTATTGGGCGTGTATTGCATACGCCCTTCACACACGTGAATTAATGGGGATTCGCGAGAACGCATGCATACATGCGCAGAATGAAGGACGTTAACTGGAATACGTAACTATTTTTGTTATTTTTAGGTACTGATAACAGCATAATTAGTCTTTCGTTGTATCTATGAACAGCAAACAAAATTTATTAGTCTCATTTACAGTCACTTATAAATATTCGGACACCTTTTAAGATAGAATAACTTTTTCTAAATTCCACCAAATGACTTGAATATTGTGAAGATATTGGAGGGACTAGTTTAGGAGGCAATGTCTACACAAATTTTACCAAAAACTGGTATTGATTGAATACATTTTATGTTGTTTTTGTCATTCCAAGCAATTACAATTTTTACAAAAATTTTTGTAGACATTGTCTAGTACATTCCATCTAAAATCTCAACAGGATTCGGATAATTAATTAATTAAATTATAACTGTATAATTAAATTATAATTTTCATAGGCATTGACAAGAAAACTATGAATTATTAGAATATAGAGAAATAGATCGCACTTGCAATAGTTTTATCTAAAACGATAGATTTCAAATAAAAATGTGTATGTGGAATCAGTAATTGTGTCTGTACACGACTTACC